GTGAGCGTTAAGGTGAGTAAGTGTCCAAGTGAGTGAGTGTTAAGGTGAGTGAGCGTTAAGGTGATTGAGCGTTAAGGTGAGTGAGTGTTGAGATAAGTGAGTGTTAAGCTGAGTGAGTGTTGAGGTAAGTGAGTGTTAAAGTGAGTAAGTGTTGAGGTAAGTGAGTGTTGAGGTAAGTGAGTGTTAAGCTGAGTGAGTGTTGAGGTAAGTGAGTGTTAAGCTGAGTGAGTGTTGAGGTGAGTGAGTGTTGAGGTGAGTGAGTGTTAAGGTGAGTAAGTGTTGAGGTGAGTGAGTGTTGAGGTAAGTGAGTGTTAAGCTGAGTGAGTGTTGAGGTGAGTGAGTGTTGAGGTGAGTGAGTGTTATGGTGAGTAAGTGTTGAGGTGAGTGAGTGTTGAGGTGAGTGAGTGTTGAGGTGAGTGAGTGTTGAGGTGAGTGAGTTTTGAGGTGAGTGAGTGTTGAGGTGAATGAGTGTTGAGGTAAGTGAGTGTTAAGGTGAGTGAGTGTTGAGGTGAGTGCACACAAAGACAACAATGACCAGCCCTGAGCTGCATCCTGGTCCAGCTGTCCCTGCTCAGCAAGAGGCCTTGCAGTTGTATTTCATTGCTGCTTCCTCGTGCTCCCCAAAGTGCACTTGTGAAGTACAGGAGCATTCTGTGATTGGTTCGGAGAGGTGCTATCAGGGCCCTAAGAAGGTGGCAGTTCTAACATGCCAGCATCCATGGATGGAATGCAGCTGGTGTCCTGGAGCGTGCCCTGAGGCGGTGCTGTGGGGTATCCGAGATGGTGGCCCAGAGCCGCAAGCAAAACTGTCCTGCATTCTGAAAGTCTCATTTCTTCATTATGGGGAGAGGTTGGGCATGAGGTAGGACAGAAAGCTTCATATTCAATGAGGCAAGATATGCAGTCAGTGAGGTCAAAAACAAGTAATAATCCCCCAGAGTAGGCATCCCACTGCTACCTAGCAAGAACCTTGTCTGGACTCTGTCACAAAATGCAATGAGTTGATGCCAACATGGAGAGAGGTCAGAAGTCATACGACACCAATGGGTTATCGTCCAATGGGTTTATTTGAAATCACAAGCTTTTGGAGCGTTGGCCCTTTGTCAGGTGAAGTCATGGAGAAAGGCCATGCCTATCATCTCACAGGGTTCTCCCAGATTTCTCCCCATAGTCCGCACCATCAGGGCTCTACAATATTCTTTGCTGTAAGGTGAACCAAATAGGACCAATTTATTTCAGAAGCCCATCAAATTGGGGTGGATTCTTTCCTGCTGGTTTACCACTAAGTGCAAGAGTCATTTTCTATTTCAAGACTCACATTCATTTCAATGCCACATCAGTTTTTATAGTGAAATAACTCCCGAGAGACTGGTATCCCATCACCAATTCACGCTTTTATTTACGCAAGCACAGTACTTGACACTGGTCCAGCTTCCTGAGCCAGTTCTCAGAGTGAACAGAACCCCTGACACTTTTGGTCTTATCTGTCAGCCAGGGCTCCCTGATTGGGCCAGATTAACATCCCCAATCTGGGAACTCATATTCTATGAGGTCCAGCTGGCTGACCTTGTGATAATCACTACAATAGTAGGTCACAAGTACCAGCCATATGCCAAATAATATTTGTTGTTTCAACCACACTGACATAAACATTTTTCTTGAGGAGTTCAACTCATGTGGGAGGTGAGGGAGAAATCATATGGGATTTAGAAGGAAGTCTATACTCAGGTTACGGAAGCTGCTGAGAATAGGCTCATGGCTCAGTGTACTCTCTCTGACTTGTTTAGGTATTTGATGATACTTTGGATTCCGCGCATTATTTTTAACCCAGTAGAACTGAACCTCTGGATACAAGACAAAGGAATAGATATTTACTTTGGATGAGGCTGAGAAATGAGCAGCATGAGATCAGACACCAGCATTGAGTGATGTTTAATAGTTCATGCCATTGCACCCAATGTCTACAGGGTGGAATCATTCACTGATTTATGTATACCCTGCCTGTAGGCAGCTCCTTAACTCATTATCTGCTTCTGCTTCATCCTGAGTCTTTAATGGGATTGGGCTAAGCCAGCAGAGGATTATGAAAGGCAAGTAACGCTTAAGAAATCTACTGTTTTTCTTTGATTTGCAACAAGTAGAATAGAGAAAGGAATACCAGTGGATGTAGTTTATCTGGATTTTCAGAAAGCGTTTGATAAGGTCCCACTTAAGAGGTGAGTGCACAAAGTTAAAGCACATGGGATAAGGGGTGATATATTGATGTTGATTGGGAATTGGTTGACAGGAAATAGAGAGTGGAAATAAATAGATCTTTTTCTGAGCGGCAGGCAACGAATAGTGGACAACTGCAAGGACCAGTACTTAGGTCCCAGATTTTCATGGTATATATCTATGTCCTGAATGAGAGAACAAAATGCAACATTTCCAAGTTTGCTGATGAAACAAAATTGACTTGAGTAACAGCGTAGAAAGTCATATATCCAAATTTGCCGATAGCACAAAGTTAAGCAGCATTGTAGAGAGTGTAGGTGATAGCGTAACATTACAGCAGGATAGTGATAGACAAAGTGAATGGGCAAAACTATGGCAGATGGAGTTCAATGTAAACTAAAATGAGAGATTATCCATTTTGGGCCAAGAAAGGATAGCTCAGGGTACTTTCTACATGGGATGAAGCTAAATACAGTGGCTGCTCAAAGAGACCTGGGGGCTCAGGTGCATAGATCTTTAAAATGTCACAAACAGGTGCAGGAAATAATCAGGAAAGCTAATGGGATACTGGCCTTTATATCTAAAGGCCTGGAGTACAAGGATGTAGATGTTATGCTTCAATTATCCAAAACCCTGGTTAGACAACAGTTGAAGTACTGTGAGCAGATCTGGGCACCACACTTTAGGAAGGTGTAGTGATTGGAACCAGGTGGATCTTGTTGACTATGAGATCTGTGATTGGGTTTGTTAACCTGGGCCAGTCAGGAAGGCCCTGGTTGACCAATATAACCAGGGGATTTAGATTCCCCTCAGTTCAGGGGACTGACTCTGAGCTGGCTGGCCACAGCCAGTGTACTGTGCACAAGTAAATAAAGGGTGAGTTTGTGACCAGATACTGGTCTCTGTGCAGTTATCTCAGAAGGATATATTGGCCTTGGAGGGAATACAATGTACATTTACAAGAATCATACCAGGATTTCAGGGTTTAAATATTAAGCAGAAATTATACAAATTTGGTCTGTTTTCTCTAGAAATTAGAAGGTTAAGGGGTGATCTGACTTCATTTTGCAAAATATTAACAGGAAAATACAGGATCAATAAAGATAAACTATTTCCATTGTTTGGGGATTCTAGAACTAAGGTGGCATACTTTGAGAATTGGGACCAGACTATTCAGGAGAGATTGTTAGGGTGCTCAAAGGGTGTGTGTCTGATGCTACCTCTCTCACTGACACTGAAGGAGGAGTGAAACTCCGAAAGCTTGTGATTTCAAACAAACCTGTTGGACTATAACCTGGTGTCATGTTGACTTTTGACTTTGTCTACCCCAGTCCAACACCAGCATCTCTGCTTCATACTGAATTGTGGCATAGGCTCAAAGGGCTGAATGGCCTATTCTGTTTCCATTTCCTTTGCAGTTTTTGTTAATGGCAGTTTGGCTTTGCCTTCAACTCTCTGGGACCGGACAAGGAGGCAGTTTCCAGAATGGGAATCAAACTCATACTGTTGGCAATATTCTTTGTTATAGACAGGCCCTTGAGCCAACTGAGCGAACTGAGTGCCTCTAGTGTGTATAACGTGGGCCAATTCATTACAGTTTATTTTTCCCCACAACCTGAGATCAAAATCAAACCAAAAATGTAAAAGCTTGATTAGTCCTTACTATTCCATAGTGGATTTGATACCCTACCTGACAAGGTGGGATCTCATTCAATTTAACGTGATTTCTTTTATTGCTGGTGGAAATTAACATGAGGTCTCAGTCAAAGATCCTACGTTGTCAAAGGCTAAGGCCTGATTGTTATCTCTACTCCAGGCTATTTCCTGGTGTGTTTGTATTGTCTGAGTTCAATAAAATGACAGCTGCATATCCCCAAGGCCAGGCTCTCTTTCCTTTATAATCGTTGCCGACATTTAATAAAATATCACCTTAGAAACTGGATGTCTAATGCATCTTTTCTCTGCTGCATAGGTATACAGCACATGCACAGGAAGACTGACCAAGCTAAAAATGTTAAAGATAATAGAATTGATGAAAGCAGTAATTCAGAATGTGACATATAATAACGTGCAAAGTACTGCATGGCATCTACACATTGCATAACTTTTCAATGATATTCCCTCTTGTTATATAGGCAAGATTCATGAGGAGCAATAAATTAAACATGTGGATAGTTGAAAGAGCAAACAGCAAGTTTGACCAAGTGGTTCAACAGCCTATCTAAACAATGCCTTGTTCATAGGTGTGTGATACTTCGGAGGCCAAGGTCAGCAGTCAGACAACACCAGGTTACAGTCCAAACAGGTATATTTGAAATCATAAGCGTCAGGTGAAGTGAGAGAGAAACACACAGGCACAGAATCCATAGGTAGAGACATCAATAAGCAGAGAGATCAAAAGATCATACAAAGCAGAGTGTTGACAAACCGAATAATAGGTCTCTGTAGGTGATCAAGAGTGTCAGACAGTGTTAGTAAAGTGTCAACAGCTGAATAACAAGCAAAGGGATGACCTATAATCCAATTAGATGAGGTAAAGAGATAATTGCAAAACATTAAAAAGCAGGTGGTGCTGCAGACAAACCAAACGACTGGAATAACATGATAGGTATAAGAGTTGCATGCTGAGGTCTAACCAAAGTAATAAGTAATCCAAAACTGTACAAACTAATTAAGGTAGACAGATCATAAGAATTTATCAAGGTGATGCTGTCAAAACAGAACAGTAAGGAAGATTTTACAGATACAGAACAGTGTGGTGGGGTCACATATGGCGTGATGTGGACCTAAGATCACGGTTGAGGCCGTCTTTTGGGTACGGAACTTGGTTTTCAATTTCTGCTCGGCGATTTTGCATTGTTGTCGATCTCAAAGGCTGCCTCAGCAGTCTCTTACCCGAAGATCAGAGGTCGAATATCCTTGACTGCTGAAGTATTCCCCCGCTGGGAGGGAACATTCCTGCCTGGCGATTGTCACGCGATGTCCATTCATCCATTGTTATGCATCTGTATGGTCTCGCCAATGTTCTATGCCTTGGGGCATTCTTGTTTGCAGAGTATGAGATAGACAACATTGGCAAAGTCACACGAGTATCTGCCATGCACTTGGTGGGTGGTGTTCCTATGTGTGATGGTGGAGGCTATGTCAAAGACCTGGCATGTCTTGCAGAGGTTGCCATGGCAGGGTTTTGTGGTGTTGCAATCAATGAACTCTGGGTCGTTTGCTGTGAACGATGATCTGTTTGAGGTTGGGCGGTTGTTTAAAGGCGAGAAGTGGAGGCGTGGGGAAGATTTTGGTGAAAAGCTCCTCATCGTCGATGATACGTTGAAGGCTGCGAAGAACATGGCGTAGTCCCTCCACACTCAGGGAAGTACTGGACGACGAAGAGTACTCTATCAGTTGTATCCTGTGTCTGTCTTCTGAGGAGGTCGTTGTAGTTTTTTGCTGTGGCACGACGGAACTGCCAATCGATGAGTTGAGCCTTCTATCCCATTTTTATAAGGGCATCCTTCAAAATCTTGGTATCCATTCCATTCTCCCTCATGTGAGCAGATCCTGTTTTTGCACAGTATTTGTCCGTAGGGGATGGCTTCTTTAACATGTTGAGGGTGAAAAACTAGTGAAGTGCAGCTTCATGAGGTTATCCGTGGGCTTGTGGTACAGTGAGGTACTGAGGTGTCCGTCCCTGATAGAGATGTGTGTGTCCACGAATGAGAATGATTCTGAAGAGTAGTCCATGATAAGTCTGATGGTGGGATGAAACTCTCATACGCTGCAGGCAAGGATTCCCCGAGGCATGGTATATTGGCGAGGCCATGCAGACGCTATAACAATGGTTAAATGGACACAGCATGACAATCGCCAGACAGGAATGTTCCCTCCCAGTGTGGGAACACTTCAGCGGGTCAGGGACATTCAGCCTCGGGGAAGTGTCCTCCAAGGCGGAATTCGAGAGACATAATAAAGCAGAATCGCTGAGCAGAAACTGATAGCCAAGTTCCGTACCTATGAAGATGGCCTTAACCATGATCTTGGGGTCATGTGACCCTACCACACTGTTCTGTATCTGCAAAATCTTCCTCACTGTCCTGTTCTGGCACCATCGTCTTGATAAATTCTTATGATCTCTCTACGTTAATTAATTTGTACAGTTTTGGATCACTTGTTACGTTGGTTAGACCCTCAGCATGTGACTCTTACTCCTATCATATTATTCCAGCCATTTGGTTTGTCTCCAGCACTACCTTATTTTTAATTTTTTGTAATCATCTCTCTGCCTCATTTAATCGGATTATAGGTTATCCCTCCACTTTGATTCGTTCACTTGCCAAGCTGGTTCATCAGTTCCATACATATAGGGGTTCATAGAATCCCTATAATGTGGAATCAGGCCATTCAGCCCATCGAGTTCACACTGACACTCCAGAGACCATCCCGCCCCGACCCATGCCCTCATCCTATCCCTGTAAGCCTGCATTTCCCATGGCTGATCCACCTAGTCTAAATATCCCTGGAGACTATGGGCAATTTAGCATGGCCATTCCACCCTAACCTGCACATCTTTTTCACACCAGTAGATACATCAGTGTGGAATTCTCTGCCAGAGAAAGTGGTTAAGATCAAAACATTGAATGTTTTCAAGAAGGAGTTAGATATTGTATGAACGGCAAAAGGTAATGGGGAGAAAGCAGGAATAGGTTACTGAGTTGAAGGATCTGACATGATTATATTGAATGGTGTAGCACACTCGAAGGGCCAATTAGCCAACTCTTGCTCCTGTGTTCTCTGTTTCCATGTGATTCTCTGGGCGAGTGGCAGTGGTACGGTGGAGCCAAACTTGCTGCCTTCTCTCAAGCGGGTATCATTTATGCTCCCACCAGTGTCACCTCACGCTGCTGTTGCCAGTCAGCCAGACCACGCTGATGCCAACCACATCGAGATGCCTACCCTCCCTGGTGCAGGGCAGCAGGAGGGGTACCTGCAAGGCCATCTGTCATCCCCCACAGAGAAAGTCAGCAGCCTCCAACCCATAGCACTGCAATGGGAACTTAAATGGGGTAAAGAAAATAGCCAAAGCTCAGCTCTAGCCTGGCTTTCACTCCCTCATGTCGTATTGATTCAAACAGCTGGATTTTACAGGCTATCCACACATGGTTAAACAGAGGGGTGGCCCATAATTTAGGACGCAGTGGCTGCCCTGACAAAATTTTATAGCATGTGATTGGAACGGAAGTAGGCCATTCAGCCCCTTGAGCCTGTTACGCCTCTTCAATGAGATCATGGCTGATCTGTGAAATGATTACCATGTCAATTGGAAAGGGAAGTATCCGAATGACGCAGATAAATGTGATCAGTGTTTAGTCACTGTTGTGTGCCGGTTAATATTTAGAAAACATTTATTATGAAAGCAATAAATTATGTGGAGGTAATCTGTTTGCACTTCAAATATGAAGTAATACCTGATCATGCAATGAAAAGCAACACTTCTGAATGTTATCTTTTCTAACCTTTCTTTTCTTAGAGAGCGCGTTCTCTACTGAAGAATGAGGAATGTGTCAATATCCTGGGATTTGTCAGAGGTTTATAGTTATTGTTTTAAAATATTTACAAAACCTTTGACTAAAGGTATTGCTTGCATGCTGTTCCTGTTTGATGATGTTGGCACCAGATTTTCAATATTGCTTTAGCATTTTATTGTTCTAATGTGATAAGTTCATGGAAAATGTATATGTTTAGTTCACTCTTGGGACATAGGCATTGCTGGCTGGGCTAGCAAATTTTTTTAATTGCCCGTCCCTAGCTGCTCTTAAGAAGGTGGTGGTGAGCTGCCTTCTTGAACTGCTGCAGGCCATATGGCTGGGGGTTTCAGTGATGGTAACACTGTTAAATGTCAAGGGCGGAGATTAGATTGTCTCTTACTGGAAATGACCATTACCAGGTATTTGCGTGTCATGAATGTTACTTGCCACTTGTCAGCCCAAGCCTGGATATTGTCCAGATCTTGTTACATTTGAACATGGACTGCTTCAGTATCTGAGGAGTCGCGAATGGTGCTGAAAATTGTGTAATCATCAGCGAACATCCCCACTTCTGACCTTATGATGGAGGGAAGGTCATTGATGAGGCAGCTGCGGATGGTTGGGCCTAGGACACTACCCTGAGGATCTCCTGCAGAGATGTCTTGGAGCTGAGATGACTGACCTCCAACAACAACAGCCATCTTCCTCTGTGCCAGTTCTGACTCCAACCACAGGAGAGTTTTCCCCCTGATACCCCTTCATTCCAGTTTTGCTAGGGATCCTGGATGCCACATTCAGCTGAATACAGCCTTGATGTCAAGGACTGTCACTCTCACCTCACCACTGGAATTCAGCTCTTCCATGTTTGAACCAAGGCTGTAATGAGGTCAGGAGCTGAGTGGCCCTGGCGGAACCCAAACTGGGCATCACTGAGCAAGTTATTGCTGAGGAGCTGCTGCTTGATAGCACTGTTCATGACACCTTCCATCATTTTACTGATGATCGAGAGGAGACTGATGAGGCGGTAATTGGCCGGATTGGATTTCTCCGTCTTTTTGTGTACAGGACGTAACTGGGCAATATTCCATATTGTTGGGTAAGTGCCAGTGTTGTAACTGTACTGGAACAGCTTGGCTAGTTCTGGAGCACAGGTCTTCAGTGTTATTGCCAGAATGTTGTCGGGGCCCGCAGCATTTGCAGAATCCAGTGCCTCCAACTGTTTCTTGATATCATGTGGAGTGAATCGAATTGGATGAAGACTGGTATCTGTAATGCTGGGAACCACTGTAGGAGGCCGCGATGGATCATCCACTCAGCACTTCTGGCTGAAGATTCAGCCTTATCTTTTGCACTGAAACACTATTTGGGGATATTTGTGGAGCCTCCTCCTCCAGTGAGTTGTTTAATCGTCCACCACCATTAATGACAAGGTGTGGCAGGACTGCAGAGCTTAGATCTGATCCGTTGGTTGAGGGATCACTTAGCTCTGTCTGTCACTTGTTGCTTATGCTGTTTGGAGTGTAAGTAGTCCTGTTTGGTGGCTTCACCAGGTTGACACCTCATCTTCAGGTACGCTGCTCCTGACATGCCCTCCTGTATTCTTCATTGAACCAGAGTTGATCCCCTGTCTTGATGGTAATGGTTGAGTGGGGGATATGCCAGGCCATGTGGTTACAGATTGTACTGGAGTGCAATTCTGCTGCTGGTGATGGCCCTTAGCACCTCATGGGTGCCCAGTCTTGAGTTGCTAGGTCTGTTTGAAGTCTGTCCCATTTAGCACGGTGATAGTGCCACACAGCACAATGTGAAAGCAGGACTCTGTCTCCACAAGGACTGTGCATGATCACTGTTAATGATACTGGCATGGACAGATGCATCTGCAGGCGGGAGACTGGTAAGGATGAGGTCAAGGATGTTTTGTTTCCCTCTTGGTTCCCTCACAACCTGCCGCAGACCCAGTCTAGCAGCTACGTCCTTTCAGACCCGGCCAGCTCAATCAGTAGTACTGCTGCCGAGCCACTCTTGGTGCTTGACATTGAAATCCCCCATCCAGAGCACATTCTGCACCTTTGGCACTCCCAGTGCTTTCTCCAAGTGTTCTACAACATGGAAGAGTACCGATTCATCAGCTGAGGGAGGACAGTACGTGGTTATCAGCAGGAGGCTTCCTTGCCCATGTTTAACCTAAAGCCACAAGACTTCATGGGATCCAGAGTCAGTGTTGAGAACTCCCAGAGCAACACTCTCCCAACTGTATACCACAGTGCCACCACCTCTGCTGGATCTATCCTGGCTGTGGGACAGGACATATCCAGAGATGGTGATGGTGGTGTCTGGG